CTCTTCAAAAGCCCAAAAGTCACACCTTAGCTCCCAGGTAAGAGGGAAGGCTCAACAGATAAACTACTGCAATTGGTCTGCAGTGACTTCCCAGTAAAGAGTATAAAGACAAATGTTTATAGTCTCTTGGAAATACAAACCCAAATTAAGATATGTGTGGTGCCCTAGTTAGGGTTTCTATTGCTGCAATGGAACACCATGACCAAAATGCAAGTTGGGTTTATTCACTTCCTTCCACACTGCTGTTCATCACCAAAGGAAATCAGCATAGGAACTCAAACAGGGCAGGAACCTAGAAGCAGGAGCTGATGCAGAGGCCATGAAGGGGTGCTGCTTACTGGCTTGCCTCCCATGGCCTGCTCCATCTGCTTTCTTATAGAACCCAGGACCACCTGCCCAGGGATGGCACCATCCATAATGAGCTGGACGCTCCCCCATCAATCCCTAATTAAGAAAATGCCTTACAGTGGATCTTATGTAGGCATAAAGCATAATTAAGCCTCCCTCCTTTCAGATATCTCTAGCTTGTGTGTCAAGTTAACATAAGACTAGCTAGCACATGACACTTCAAATTGGCAACAACAAAAAAGCGTAATAAACTCCAATGATGTCTAGTCCCTTGCTGACTAGTATTACTCAACAATGGTATGCACGTTAATAAAATACTGTATTTTCTAGCTGGGTGGTGGTGGTGCATGCCTTTGAACCCAGCACTCAGGAGGCAGAGGCAGGCAGATAGATCTCTGGGGCCAGCCTGGACAAAGGGAAGGAGAGGGAGAGAGCACAGTAAGTTACTTTTCCAAAAGAACTATTATTTTTTTTTTCAGTTTTCTGTACCACTAGAAGGATTTGGTTTTTCTTTATATGTACAGCTTTTTAGCTTAAAATATACAATTTTTATTGCATTTCCTTTATTTCGTGTGTACACACACATATATGTAGAGATTATAAGACAACTTGCCAGAGTTGGTTCTTCCTACATGGATCCCAGAGATGGATCTCAGGTTGTCAGGCTTGGCTCAAGTGTCTTTAACCTACTAAGCCATCTCACCAGCACCAACCTCCACCCCCAACCAGTCTCAAGTCTGAAAGCTAACTAAAACTGCCTCAAAGAATCTCAGTAAGAGACACACTTCGTAACATGGACTTCTCCTTTAAAAATCCCTTCACGTTTCCTAACATCACCTGTGCAACAAAATAAGAGGGGAAGAAAACAAACACTTTATGCTACTGCCTACAACTCTCCTTTCCTTTCTGGACCCTAACCACTGTCTCTAAGACAGCTGTGACAGCTCATGGTCATTATATTACAGTTCCTAGTCTTGGCCCATTTCACTCTTGTACAGGAACAGCAACTTCACTTTTCAGCAGCAGCAGGGATGCTACTCTGCTCGGCTTTCATCATTTAGGTCTAGGTCCCTAACCATTATTCCCTACTGCTACAGGTCAGGCTGCTTCAGCATCCCTAGGATGGGATGCACACCAAGTTGGTATTTATACATTTCCAATGAATCAGTTTACAGTCTTCTCTTCAAAACAAGGTGCAGCCGAGCACAAGAGGACTTTCGATGCCTCAAAATGTCATCCAGCTTTGCTCAGTTTGTCCTCCACTTTTCCAGTTTGACAGCTGCTTACTATTCATGTGTAATCATTAAAGTGCAATAACTATTACAGATATTTTTAAATGTCTCACATTGATGGTTGAAAGCATTAACTTTTTTATGCACTGAGCTTCATCATCTTAATTTTCTCATGACACACAACAATCTGTGCCAGTAAAAACTAACTCTCAATGCTGCAAGCTTATTAATTTTGAACTAATTAGTGAGAAAGGATTGTAAAGTATTTTTCAAGTACTGAAGGAAACGGTGACAATCAGGTGGCCCATGAAAGCGGAATGAGAGAAAAGTGCTAACTCTCCAAGGTGTCAGGACTGAAAAGCACTTGGCAGCTTCTCCGCAAACCTACAAAACAGCAGAGCACGCTGGTTCACACCTGTAATCCTAGCCCTCAGGAGGCTGAGGTGGGAGGGCTGACTGCTGAATTTGAGGACAGCCTGGGCTACAGAGTGAGACAGTGTCTCAAAAGACTAACATTCTCAGGGAATTTTTAAACTAATTATTTTTGGAATCTTTAACAAAGCCAAGCAGGAACACAAAAAAAGGAATAAAATGTGTGTTGTAAATGACAGGGACACATGACTTGTGTCATAAACTGAGTTTGTTACATAAATATGTATACTCAAGTATATTGTATATATGAATATATGAATATCTATATGCAGTATACTCATACACAGTCACAAAACCAGCTCAGTGCTAACTTTTCCACATCACTTTGGCTTACAAGTTTAAAAACTGTTGTTCAAATAAATAAACAAACAAATGAATAGACAGGTAAATAAATGTCAAACAGTATCAAAACAATGAAAAGAGGAAGCAAGCAGCTCCAGAAAACAGAGGCTGCAAAACAGCTACCTCCTGAGAGCAGCTAGGTGGAGTAAATCCTGGACTCAGTTGCTGAAGCCAGAGTCTACAGCCAACAGTTGACCTCGAAGCTGCACCTCCATGGCTGAGAGAGTGGAAAGTGAGAGCAGGATGGAGACTACTGTGTTGATGTAGCCCAATGACTTCAGTTCCAGTAAGTCCCAAACAAAGCAACACAGACACTAACTTCTCAGTCTCCAACGCTCTAAAAGCGTTCACTCCCCACCTGGCAGGACTGTGACCCTGCTAATTTCAGGTACATTATAATCTGAACCCAACTTCTCATCCATAAAAGGGTTGGCAACCATTCTCAAGTTCCTCTGTGATTTTCTAACACCTACAAAGGAAACATATATTTCCGCTTTTACAGTGTTATATACAGTATGTCACCCAAGAATCTGTAAGCCATTAGAGTGAGCTCAACTCTTAATGCTAAACAAATTTGTGACCCAAGAAGTAGCACTCTGGGAGCCAAAGGACATCTCAATATGTGCCAAGGGGAATAAGGAAAAACACAGCCCCCGAATTATTCCCTCCCTCGCCAAAATTTAGGTATCCCACCAACCCTCTGTTCACCTGAGCAAGACCAATCTAAACCACGGGGTCACTTTTCTTAGATTTAGCAAATTACTGACAAAGCTAGCCTCAGAATATTGTTCTGTTAAACGAAGTTACAGAACTTCAGGATAAACTTAAAACTACGAGCAACAAACAGCTTTCTAGAGCCCTGGTACAAACACCATCCTATGATATGACATGAATCACCAGTATCACACACTCTCCTCTGACTCTGAGGAGAAAGGGAGAGGGGACCAAAGCCAGGGAATAAAGGCAACTGGGAGCATTAACAAAAGCTGCAGTAAAAGCAATGCAAAGGTAATGAAGAACCTGCATTAAAACTACAGCCAAAAAGACAAAGCAAGCAAAAAGACTAGCAATACCTTCCCATCAGGGACACTTCCAACAGAACCCAGCTAAGAGGAAAACATCAGTGCCATAAGGGAAAAGTTACTATTTTAGTAGTAGACTTTGAAACAAATCTTTTCTCTATATATATTTGTAAATTCACATCATATGCAAATGTGAGTTCAAAGAAATAACGTTTTGATTCAAGATGTGTTTTTATGAACTGGGTGTGGTGGTATAATCCCAGCACACCAAGCCGGGAGGATTGCCAGTTCCAATACTCCCACCCCCAAAAAAGACTTACATTTAAGTTTTGAGAATAAGTTTATCGTATTAATCTTATGTGCCATGCAACGTTCAGCTCCAAATTCACCGCTGGAAATCCAGTTCGGTTTTATGCTGTCTCCATGAGGAGGAAGATTAACTGTCCCACAGTGACCTGCCATACCACACAAGTATTCTTTTTACTGTCCCCCAAACACTAACATCTGACATGCCTACTGCACAGCAAAGCAATGAAGCCCGAGTTTGTGCGATTTTACTTGACTTCTACAAGAGTTAACACAGAAAATACCCTCTCCTGGAACTCTTCCATTCGTGCCTTGAGAACAATGCTTATACTGCCATTCACGATTTCAGTCATTATGCTTCAGCTACATCTAAATACACGTGGCTTTTTAAAGGTTACCAGGGAGGTAGACAGGACTCCCCGACTCTCTCCAGGCCCCAGACCACAGCATTCAAAGCTCCCGCAAGTATTCAATCGAGACACCGCTCCTTGGAGCCACTACTGCCTCCCATCCGTTCCTAACACAAGTATCAGAGGAGCGTTCTTCGAGATCAAAAAAGGGGTGGGGGGGGGGGACTGTTGAGTCTAGATCAGGTTCTTGAGGATGGAGCGGGTGGTTTACTCCTCTTTCAAACCCCGCCGCAGCTCACGCCGGAATAGCATGCAGCTCTGAAGGGCAGGTGCTGAATTTCGGGGTTCGGAGTCAGCCCTGCAAACACCTGTCGGCTGCACGGTACATGCCTGCTACTACGTGCTAACAGCAGTCTTGAACGTACAGAGCAAAAATCGAAACAAAACAAAAAGCAGACCCACAACCGCCGCCGCCGCCGCCCGGGCTTCTCCCGGACCGCAAACTTTTCAAGTGTCAGTGGAATAACGGTGCAGAGGCGGGCAAGCCCGCACCGCTCGCCCTCCGTCCGCACCGCCGTGGGGCTGCACCCGCTCTCGCCCGGGGAGTCGCTCGGCCGGCTCGCAGCCTGCTCCCCCGACTCCCGATCAGCGCGGCCAGCGCGCCTCCCCTCGCGCCCGGCCCTCGGGCAGCCGGAAGGGGGAAGCCGTGCGGGGGGCTTCTCTTCGGGAGGCGGGGGAGGGGGAGGGGCGCGGCGGCGGCCCCCGCAAAGGTCACTCGCGGCCGGCGCGAGCGGCGGCCCGAGGCCTCCCCGCCCCCGGCCCCGGCCCCACCGCGGCCCCGCGGACACCGGGACACGCGAGGCTCGGCGGGCGGCGGCTCCACGCGCGCACGCCCCGCTGGAAAATGGAGCGTGGAGCGCCGAGGCGAGGAAGAGGCGCTCCCTTTCCGTTACCCGAATCGCTCCTACCTCCGGCTGCCCGGCTCCTACACTCCCCGCGCTCCGCCGCTCTCCGGGATCCGCCGCCCTCGCCGCCGCCGCCGCCGCCGCCGCCGCCGCATCCAATCGCCTCCTCCCCCCCCCTCCCCTTCCGCAGCCAGTCCAGGCCGTTCCTCCGCCTCTCCGCTTCAAAATGGCGCCAAGAGCTGCTCCGCGGCTGCTCCAATCGAACCGCGGCGGACGGCGCCCGGGGGGCAGGCAGAGCGGCGCGTGGGTCCTCAGCGCCCCCTGCCGGCCAGACAGCTTCTCGCCCAGGCGCTCGCGCATGCGCTCCTTAGCCCGCGCTCCGGGCTCCGCCCCCCCCGCCAGGCAGCGCGCACGCGCAGGCTCCGCCCTACCCGCGCGGCCGCCGCTGTCTCCCTGGCAGCAGAGAGATGGACAGCTGTCAATGCGTTCTCAGCTTTGACACAGCCTCCCAGCCTTTGGCGGGAAATGTGTAGATTGCTGTAAACCGCTGGCTTTTTTTTTTTTTTTTTTTTTTTGGTTTCTCTGTAGCTTTGGAGGCTGTCCTAGAACTAGTTCTGTAGAGCAGGCTGGCCTCGGGCTCACAGAGATCTGCCTGCCCCTCTCTCCCCCCCACCTCTCTCTCTCTCTCCCTCCTGAGTGTTGGGATTAAAGTGTCATCACCACCCGACTTTTCTTTCGTTTTTTTGACAAGGTCTCACTATGAAACCCTGTGTTCACCAGGCTGGCCTTGAACTCACTATGTAGACCAGGCAGGCCTCGAGTTGAGAGATCTGCTTGCCTCTGCCTCCCTAGTACAGGCATGTGACCTATGCCCGGCTTCCCCCCCGCCCTGGAAGAAAATTGTAAAGTATATTATTTTATTTGAGAACAGGGTCTCACTATGCAGCTCTGACTGACCTGGAAATCACTATTTAACTCAGGCTGGCCTCAGTCGTCCTGCCACTACCACCTGAGTACTGGGGTTAAAGGTATTGTGCCACCACTCCTGGCTTTTTTTTGTTGTTTAGTTAGGCAGGGTTTCACTATGTAGCCCCGGCTAATCTGGAACTCACAGAGGCCTACCAGCCTCTGCCACCCAAATGCTGGAATTAAAGGTGTATACCACCTTGTGTGATGTCTTAAACCCTGGGATACAGCCTGGATCTTGGGCTGTGTAGATGAAATGAGCATTGATATCTACTTGCCTTCTTAGGAGGTGGCTGACTTAGGGACCTGTGACAAAGCATCCCTCTGCTCACAAAACTCCCCTTTCAGGGTGGGGGGTAATCTGAAGGCCACAAGGATGCCATCCAGAAAATGAGGTTCATCCTCTCTTGCCACTTCTGGCATCCCTGTTGCAGCTGAGGGCTGGGTGAGCTAGGATGGATGTTTCTCTTCACCCCAGGGCTCTGCCAGAGCTGACTAACTGCTCTCTTTGTGCCCTTTGGTAGAGTCCATCCCTGCAGTGAGCAGGATATCCCTGCTATCAAGTGTCTGGTACTGACTGTTTCAGAGGGTTCGTTTTAACAGTGAACAAACAAAAAGTGAATTAATAGCTTATGCTAGGATATTTATCATTCCAAACAAAGGATAGGCAATGCAGCCAACGTTATTGTGCTAGGAAAGAGAAGCTGTAAAGCCTGGCAGGCCAAGCACCTACAAATACTCACACCTCAGATATTCACATCTTATTCATTTCCTTTCACAGCGTGTTCCTGGGGTAGCTCTGTTTGTCCTCACCACCCACTATTTTGGTAGCCAGAACTACAGACTCCTACCCATCTTACCCATCCACTAAGCCTTAGGAAGCTTTCTGTACAACTTCAAAGTTCCCTGAAAGGACAGAACAGGAAACCTATGAGGTCTTAAAAATAAACAAACATAAATAAATAAATAAAAAGGCAGCTCTGGCTCTTTGACTAGGCATGGTGTGCCACACACTTTTAATCTCAGCATTGGGAGGCAGGGGCAAGTGGATCTCTGTGAGTTCAAGGCCAGCCTGATGTGATTTATACAGTGAACTCCAGGACAGCCAGAGCTACATAGTGACCTTGTCTCAAACAAAAAAAGAAAAAAGAAAAAAGAAAGAAAGAAAGAAAGAAAGAAAGAAAGAAGGAAATGTCCAGCTCTTTGTTGTTATTTTCTTTCCCTCTCAATTCTGAACCCCCTACATACACAAACCAAGTAAGTTTCTTAGGAGCAACAGAGTGAGAGAAAGAATGTTGGGACTCAGGACCACGATCACTCTTGTTTAATATATAACAGGCACTTAGCATGTACTGAGTCCTCAGAAAATAGTTCTGTTGGGGGTCCACTTGGTTAAGAATATTTTTCATCTTATATGTGGACAGGGTGGGGCTTGAGAATTTTAGAGTTGTCATATCATTTGCCAAGGTGTTGCCAGTTTTACCGTGCATTAATCAATTTTCAACACTGCACCAAAATACTTGATAAAGAAAGATGGTTTATCTTGGTTCATGGTTTCCATCTATAGTTGGCTGGATCCATTCTTTCTGAGCCTGGGTGAGGCAGACCATCATGGTAAAGTAGGTCACCTGGAAGGCAAAAAAGCAGCCAGACAGACGTATCTCTGAAGATAGTTTACACTACCTGGGCCTGGCCCCATGACCATTTCCTCCTATGATAGTTCCCATCCTAGTTTCCACTAGTTCCCAATAATGCCATCAGATGAGTCCAGACTGGAGATCAGAACAGTGTCAGAGCCCCTAGAACTGGAATCAAAGGAAACTGGAAGCCACCACGTGGGTGCTGGGAACTAAGCCCAGGTCTTCTGCAAGAACTGTAAGTGTTCTTAATCTTTGAGCCATCTCTCCATCCCCACAAAACAATATCACTTCATATTTGGCGATTTTAAAATAGCCAACTTGGAATTAATCAGGATACAATAACTGATGGGCTAAAATTCCAGATAACTAGGAATTGGAAGTATTCCAAAATTCAGTTGTATTTTCTAATCCTGGGAGACGGAATGGTGTAAAAATGCTGGTCTTATGCAGACATGGTTACAACATTTTTTGATCATGAAAAGCACACATCCAGTGCCCATCTAGCCTGGCTCACGTTTGCTGCCATAGCAAATTATTGTATGCTTGGTAAACAGAGTAACACCAATTTGCCTTTCTCAGCTGGAACTCAGGAGTCTGACAGGTGTCTCCCTGAGCTACTTACTGCAGGATCCACAGCAGTATGCGTCCCTTCTCCAGACTGCTGGATGAGATGCTAGATACATGCCTTTCGTGGCCTATGGACACTGACTGTCAGTTCATGTGTCTGTTCTCTGTCTTCAAAGTCAATACCACAGCATGTCTTTAGGCTGCCTCCTTTGCCCTGTGTCTCTGGCTCCCTTCTACCCATCTCATTCACTTTTCAACCCCTGATTACTCAGACCCAGGTGAGTAATCCAGAAAAATCTCCCTAGTTTAAGATCAGCTGATAAGAAAATTTTATTCCATCTTTAACTGTAACGTCCCCTAACATATTAAAAGGCTCTACATGAGTATCTTGGGAGGCACTGTTCTGCTAACCACATCATACCTATTTTGGTTATCTAGCTATTATTGGTGGGGTCCAAAGTGAAGGTTGAAGCGATTAGGAAGTTGGAAGATTCCAGGTCTACCCTGAATAGGCCTCTGTTGTCCTATTGAATTTTGAATACAACCTATACATACTCTAAATGGTTTTCCAGTAGCAGCAGAACTTACTACATATCACAAAGCAGGCTGAGCAGCTCACTGGGAAATGAGGAGACTCACCTAACTCAAAGCATGTCCCAAAGGCCATTCAAATGATCCCTGACAGTCTGTGGCAGAACTAAAATTCTCAGGGGACCACAAAAGGATGCCATATTTATTATTTGCAGTCTAGACTACAACTAGTGGATCTAGACTGCAGGGAGTGGGAGAATGACAGACTCTGTGTACCTTTTCAGCCCATGATACAAGAATTATAACTACAGTTAAAGCAATCAGTAAAGAATACAGTATTCAATAAAGGAAAACAAAAGCTAGGGCCAGAGAGACAGCTCAGGGGATAAAAGCACTTGCTGCTCTTGCTGGGTTGCATTCCCTGCTCTCACATGGTGGCTCACAGCCATTGGTAACTCCAGTTCCAGGGATCCACACCCTCATCTGTGCCTCCTCGAACATGCGGTGCACATACATACATGCCAGTGAAACACTCAGACACATTTTTTTTTTAATTGTACTGGAAAGATGGCTCAGTGGTTAAGAGCACTGGCTGCTCTTGCAAGGGACCTGGGTTCCGTTCCAGCACCCACGTGGTGACTCATGAGTACCTCTAATTCCAGTTCCAGGGAATATGATGCCCTCTTCTGGCCACTATAGATACCCAATAGGCTTCCCTGTCTCCACAGCCATTTATACTTTACAGATTTTCTTCAATGTCTGGAATACCTCAAATAATTATTTTTTTGTTTTGTTTTGTTTTTGTTTTGTTTTGTTTTTCAAGACAGGGCTTCTCTGTAGCTTTAGAGTCTGTCCTGGAACTCGCCAGGACAGGCGAGTGTGTGTGTGTGTGTGTGTGTGTGTGTGTGTGTGTGTGTGGTATACTCACCCATATGTGCACGTGGGTGTCAGATACCTTCCCCTATCATTGCTCCACACACATTTTTCTGAAACATGGTCTCTTGTTGAACTGGAAGTTCGATGTCTTGGCTAGACTGACTGGCCACTAAGTCCGCAGGATCTACCTGTCTTGACCTCCTAGTGCCAGTGTTACAGAAACATACTGCTAAAACCAGCTCCTATGTCTCAGATACTATATGATGAAATCTTAGCTCTTTGGTTGGGGAAAGGCTGATGGTTGGCTAAGTAGCTACATCCCAAAGTTTTTCCTTGATAATTGAAATGAAGTTAGATCAGACATAGAGATAAGCATGAATGGCTACTGGGGAGGCTTAAAAGAGCCCAAGATAATTCTTGTCTAGATTTACAGAATTTCAACTATGTCTTATCACAAAGTAATAATCAATCAATCACCTTTTTAGAATCTTTCTCCTTTTTCAAAAACAGAATCTCACTTGGTATCCCTAGCTGGCTTAGAACTTGCTATGTAGATCAGCCTGGACTTAAACTCACAGAGATCTGTGTGTCTCAGCATCTTGAATACTGATTTAGAATCTTTTAGCCCTTTTAGAATCTTTAACATAGCCATTGTTTGTTGTTTTTCCTTTCTCTCTCTCTTTCTTTTTTTTTTTTTTTTTTTTCTTTTTTTCTTTTTCTGGGAACTTCAGTTCACAATGTAGAAGTGGATAAAGGCAGATAGGGTACATAAAATGAGATAGCCAACAAGGTGAGCATTACTTAAATTATACTGAATCAAATGTATAATACATTTAGAAAAGTTTCTGACACACTCTATATAAGTGCTCTGGAATGAGAACCCATCATTTATGAATACAGATTAGAGCAACTGAGTTTTCTGAATAAGCAGCAGTAGTTCTGAAAATATCAGTAATAGACTGTACAAAAGGACACAGCAAACTGCTACATATTGGGAATGGTAAGTAATGTGTTGAATTAGTGTTCTATAGCACCATAGAATTTATGGAATGAAATCTCTCAATATCTCTCTCTCTCTCTCTCTCTCTCTGTGTGTGTGTGTGGGGGGGGGATTTATTGAAATGACTTACAGGCTGCAATTCAACTAATCCAACAATGGCTGGCTGTGAATGGAAAGTCCAAGAATCTAGTTGCTCAGTCCCACAAGGGGCTGTGTCTCAGCTGGTCTTCTGTACATGCTGGAACCCTGAAGAAGTAGACTCCAATGCCAGTGAAGGATTGGATGTGCTGGCAAGGTGAGGGTAAGCAGAAAAAAAGAGCAAAAGTTTCCTTCTTCTATGTCTTCGGCTTCCAGCAGAAGAAGTAACCCTGATTAAAGGTGTCTTCCCCACCTCAAGATTTGGACTAAAGACCTATATCTTCCCAACTCTCAAGATCCAGATCAAAGGTCCACACTAGAAGTGGATTTACCCATGTCAAAACAAGCAGAAAAATCTCTCACAGGTGCCCCCTCCATTTCAGGATTGTAGTTCATGCTACATATAGTCAAGTTGACAACCAAGAATAGCCATCACGACAGGTGGTGGTGGCGGCAGCTGCACACGCGTTTAATCCCAGCACTTGGGAGGTAGAGGCAGGTAGATCTCTTGAGTTCAAGGCCAGCCTAGTCTGTAGATTGAGTTCCAAGACAGCCAGGGCTACATAGAGAAACCCTACCTCAAAAACAACAAAACAAAAACAAACAAACAAAACAAAAAACCAAAAACAAGAGAAAGAAAAGAATGAAGGAAGGAAGGAAGCCATCACAGATGTAATCTATGACAATTACAGCAGCAGCTTTATTTACAAGGGCATTTACATTCAGAGGGTGCTCTCAGCTTCTGGTCCTCTATAGTAAGCATAAACTGAAGTGGGCAGTGATACACTTTTATGAATATCAAATATGTTACATCAGTGGGGAGTGGAACATGTGGCTCAGTGGTAGAGGGCTTGTCTTCCATACTTCAGGTCCTAGGTTCAATTCTCAACATTGAAGATAAAAAAAAAAAAAAAGCCAGTAGGTGTTAAAGAAAGGAATATAAACAGTCTGGAATGTTTCCAGCTGCTGTGGAATGATGGGAGGTAGGGGAGTACCAGAGGTACAGAGGTATCAATGTGTTGAAGAGACAGTAGGTTTGGTGTTGCCTTCTAGAATACTCTACCAGATTCTTCACAACTGAAGGGTAAAAATCATGATTAGACACAATCAGGGCAAGGACCCTGGTTACAGCTTTTCTTTGCTTCAAGAAGTAAATGGGTTTTCTCTCTTTTAAATAATATTCTTAAGTATGGCCTTCCTCTTTGTCACCCTCACCTCTGACCTTTCTGTAGCCCTGATTACTCTCAACAGCAGTGTCTACTGTCACTGTTCCCTCACTCAAGTACCTTTTCTGGGGTTCTTTATGACACTTGCCTTCTGAGACCTCACTCTGCTTGGGGGAGTCTTTGATGCTCTCATCTCTGAGCAGAGATGTTATGGTCTAGATGTGTGTCCCTCCCACCCATATTCAAAACTTAATCACTAACTGATAATATTAAGGGTGATAAACTTTATTGTAGCGCCCAGGCAAATGAGATTAGTGAACTCAAAAAAGAGGTGTGGGGCCGGATTGCTGAGGTGGCACACATCTGTAATCCTGGCAGTCCTACAGCAAGGTGGGTCACACAGACAGGAGAGTTAGCCAGGAGCTCACAGGCCAGCTAACCTAGAATACATACAACAACCGAGAAACGAGAAATCCTGCACCAAAGCAAGGTGGAAGGAGAGAACCAACTCCTGAAAAGTTGTCTTCATAGAATGTGCTCACACATACACACACACACACACACACGCACAATTTAGAAGAGGGTGCTGTTTTCTCTGTCTGTCATGTGAAAATATATAGCCAGAATATACAGTCTGTGTTCCAGAAGAGACGCCTTCACTAAACAACAAATCCAATGACCCTCGTTGAACTTTCTATACCCCAGAAGTACGGAAATAAATTTCTAATATTTAGAAATGAAAGGCATTTTAACAACCTAAATGGACTAATAAAATGAGTACATGCAAGCTTCATCTTTGAAATTTTATTTGGGATGGCAAGATGGCTCAGTGAACAAAGGTACTTGCTGTTAAGCCTGGACAACCTGAGTTCGGTCTCCAGGACCCAAACATGTGACTGAATATTGGCCTGGAGGTATGGCAGTAGAAAACTGTCAGCCCATCATATACAAGGGTCTGAGTTCAACTCCTAGCAACACACACACACACACCCCAAGAGAGAGAGAAAAAAAAATTTCTGCTATTTAACCTTTCATCTCTAAACTCAAACAAATGGCATGCTATCAAAATGTAAGATGTTACAATGATATGATATCACCATGAATGTAAAAAAAAAAAAAAAAGCTCATGTTTCTTAGGGTGGGCATAGTGGTGCAGGCCTGTAATTCCAGCAGGACAAGCAAAAATTTTGAGCCTCTCACTTGTAGGTTGTTTGAAGTTAGCCTGGGCTCTATGAGAGCCCGCCTCTTCTTGCTTCCCTGGGCACCGGAGACACACATTATGCACATATATACATGCAAGTAAAACACTCACATATGTAAAATAAGTGCTTATTAAAGAGAAAAATAAAAGATAAATGACCTGAAGCTAAACAAGAAGAAGCAAAGGTTGCAGTGAAAGTTGCATTTCAGGAAGACTTGGCAAAGGGATAGATTGTGACTGGGTCACAATCGTGTTATTCTGATGTAAGTATCCTACACTGTGCTTTTATACTCATACATTAAAGCTTTATTGTGTTGGAGTCAAGAATTTTTCAACCAACCTGATCTACAGAGCGAGGTCCAGGACAGGCAAGACTGATTGACAAAGAAGCCCTATCTCGCCCCCACTCCCTCCCCTCACCCCCCCCACACCCTCACCCCTCCAAAAGAAGAATTATTCAAATATGAAGAGACAGCCTATTTCCTTGTGGAGACCCAAATGAAACATGGGGGGTGGGGTGGAGGGCAGGCTAATAGTAGTAGAAAAGAGAACAAAAAGGCCCATAATTGAAACTTGTCATTGGTTGGTATTTATTTTTAATCCAACACACATTTATATAACAGTTTTCTTACCTGAACGGAAGACACTTTATAATTTCTCCCCTAAGCGTCACCTGTCTATCACAGGGTTCTGCAGTGCAGGCACTCTAGTCTTCCAAGAGTTTAAAATTATACTTTGTAGCGTTTCTTTGAAACCATAGCAACTCAACTCTGCTATACAAAATGTTTTCTCCTTGGAAACGTAGGTTGATTCTTTGTCTCCTAAAAAGCCTGAAAATAGTTCAGTCTCTGCGAGGGCCTTGAGCATCCACCTGGGGGCGCCAACAACTCTTGTTCTTTTTCTTAAGTGGAGAACGCCGAGAACGCCAGAGACCGCAGCTTTTTTTTTTTTTTTTTTTTTTTTTTTTTTTGATCAAAGTTAGTGTTTCTTTAAATAACTTTCCCACTCCAGGGTGGGGAACAAGCCTGCGCCTGCGTTTGTTGCCAAATTCACGCAATGGACTATGGAAGACCGAGTCTTTGTGCCATGAGGTAAACTATCATCGTAGGGAACGCTGGACTTCAATTCCCACAATGCCCGGCGCGAGCCCGCGGCGCTGCATGGGAAATCCGAGCGGTGGCGGCCATCTTGCGTATGGGGCTCCTCCAGCCCCACATCTCTCCATCTCTGCTTTGTAGTTGCGTCTCGGACGATCTTTCGCTCTCTCGGAGGTTCGTGTCTTTGCGGAAGTTGTTTTGTTTTTGTATTGTCGGGTGGGGTTGGGAGGAGGTGGAAGGACATGCAGGCCTGTGGTTTGAGGTAAGCAGACGCCCCAGTGTAGATAGGGGAGGTGCTTCCGGTTTCGTCTGAGACGTTTTCACCCGTGCTTGGCACGACTGCTTGGTCTAATTGTGAGCGTGGAAGCCCGGAGAGAACCTTCCAGTCGGGATTCTAGACGGGACCTTGTCGTTGTCCTTAGGGGCGGAGGAGCTGGGGGGCCTCTGGCCAGGCAGCTTACCTGGCGGCCAGGAGGCCTCGAGGCCCAGGCAGTGTTAGTTCACCCTTCGCTCTTCCTCGGGTGTCTCTGACGTTTGAATGTGGAAACGGGAAGATGTGTCAGTTTCCGGGAGAATGGTTCTCTTAATGGCCTGGCTGCTTTCTTCCCCTAGTTTGTGGGGTTTTGGTTTTGATTCCAAGAGCGGGCCGAATGAAGTGCAGACCAAAACGTGACTTTTGGTTTCTTAAGGGTCCAAAGAAATTTTAAGAGAAGTTGTATTTTGTTTTAAAGACGTAATCTGTAGGCCAGGATGTTCTTTAGTCCGCCCATACCGGTCTGAAATGGGTTATTGATAGGATTACTGGTTTGAAGCAGTACCTGTCAAGAGAAGTGTAGCTTTACTTTAATTTATTGACAGAATCTTATGTAGTGCAGACTGACCTTGAACTCTGTAGTCGATGCTGGTCTTGAACTCCTGCCAAATGCTAGCATTACCCTTATAAACCAACCTGCCTGCAGAATTTCTTTTTTAAGCAAGAGAAACAGCTAGAAAAGATGAATGCTTTGATTTTGAAGAGTTTCCTGATTATTTGTCCTAAGCATAATTCGTATCGTCAATGAAACTCAAACTCCCTTATTTCTTTCAAATTACTATGCTTAGTTTGGACCTGCTTTTTTCACTACTGGGAAGGAAAGGTCCACAAAGGCTGTAATTTAGTTCATATAGTGTTTGGATCCTAAAGAGAGATGGTGGAGTGTGGAAGCTAAAGCCTATACTCCAAAAAACACAGTGATTTTTAAACAGGAAGTTATTCTTGATGCAGTATACCTTAGCCAGTTATGTATCTATACAGACTCAGGTTTCCAAACATAGGTCCATGAACTCTGGAATGGGACAGTAATCTCAACTACTAAGAAGGTTGGACAGTTAAAGCCTTCCTGGACTCTACAGAGAGAATTCAAGGTCACACTTGTCAATTTAGTGAGGCACTGTCTCACAGCATGAAAAAAGCTGTGACATAGCTCTGTAATAGGGTGTTTGCTTGCCATGTGTGAGGTCATAAGTTCACCTTCTGCACCTTCAAAAAAACTGAGCTGCACATACATTTTTAAATGATACTAACTTCAATTAAACTCTCCTCCCGTAAATGATTGTTATGACTTATAAAATTACAGTTTGATGCTTATGTCACATATACTTATTTGAAAAATCCCTTCCCTGTGAAAATAACTTTTGTTTAAATTTTTAATTTTTACTTATTTTGGAGGTTTTTTGAGATAGGGTTTCTCTGTGTAATAGCTCTAACTGTCCTAGAACTCACTCTGTAGACTAGGCTGACCGCAAACTCAAAGAGATCTGCCTGCTTCTGCCTCCCAAGCATTAGGATCAAAAGTGTGCATCCGCCTTGTTTAAATTTTTAAAAATATAACCTGATAATTGTATGCTTCATTCCTCAGATGCCTTATCGTGAAATTGAAGCTAAGTTTTTGGGACCTGGAAAAGGACTCACAAGGGAACCATGCTATAAAAAATTGAAGTCAGCTGCAGATGATTGTGTTTTGCCCCATCAAGGTAGTCCTGACAGTCACAGACTCCAAGAGAAAACTAGAAATAATAGGCTCCCTGTGGCCACCATTAACTTCAGAAGACGGAATTGTCCTGAGGAAGACAAAACCAGAACTACAGATGTGTTGAAGCCTTTGTGCAAGGAGACACCTGATAACAAAGTAGATGGTGCTAAATCCGGTAGTTCGCAAGCTTTGCAGGATGGAAAACCTTCATCACTGTCCAGGGACGATGAAATCTATAGCACAAGTAAAGCATTCATAGGCCCCATTTACAAACCCCCTGAAAAAAAGAAATGCCGGGAAAGGAAAAGTGAGACGGGCACTTCCAATAGTGTAGATGACAAAAGAAGACAAGAAGAAAAGCAGAAATGTAACTCCAAAAAATTAGAGATTGACACGGAATTATCCCAGTTTTACAAAGAAATTGAAGAGCTGGAAAATGAAAATGATGCTTCACAGGGCAGTTGTAAGGTGTCAGAGCCTTCCCAGGAGCAAGTGATTCCTTTTGACCAGACCAATGATACCTTAAAATCTGAGGAAGAAAATAAAGATCTCAATAATGCTCTTCAGTTACATTGTGGTTACCTGGGTTACTTGGAGGATGAACCAGACAACTATCCCTATGATGAACAAGTGATACCTACATTTTGTGATTCTTCGTTTCCTTCCTTCAGACCTGAGTGGCAGTCAGTACATCCATTTGTCATACCCCGTGGTCCTCCTCTTCCCAGTTTTAATTATCATTTTAATATTCAAAGATTCGATGCCCCACTAAATCCACCAAATATTTTCCATGGGCAAGATGATTGTCTGATGCAGAATGGGTGTTATGTGGATAGTTGTCAGGATAGCTGGAACTGTTTGACTTTTGATCAGAGTGATGAGTATACTAACTATGGTTTGACCAGCAGTAATGTTCATCCCTTTAGAAATGGCTACAGTATACAAGATGAAAGTGTGAATAATGGTTTCTGTGAAATCAGAGAATGCTGGAGAGATCCTTCCATGGAAGAACACAATAGAACAGACAGGTTTGTGAATCAGTGGTTTCAAGAGGAGAAGCTAAATAAATTGCAGAAATTACTTATTCTTTTGCGAGGCCTCCCTGGTTCTGGAAAAACAACATTGTCTCGGTAAGTAAAGGATACTAAGTGAATACTTAATGATTCATTACTTAAATGAGTTACCAATGATAAATGCATTCATGTTTCTAGTAGAAAATTTATATGTTGTATTTGGGGATGACATCTGACTGGAAATACTTTAAAAGGTGTATTCTAGTGGGAAAGGGAGAATTGATGTATAGAAGCTAAGAGCACTGGCTGATACTCCAGGGATCCTGAGTTCAATTCCCAGCACCTACATAACAGCTGACAACTGACTATATATAATGGGATCCAATGCCCTCTTCTGTTGTGCAGATGGACATGCAGACATAGCATCCATATACATTAAATAAATAAACTTTTTGTTTTGTTTTTTTCAAGATAGGGTTTCTCTGTGTAGCTTTGGAGGCTGTCCTGGAACTCGCTCTGTAGACCAGTCTGACCTCGAACTCACAGAGATCCGCCTGCCTCTGCCTCCAGAGTGCTGGGACTAAAGGTGTGTGCGCCACCTATGCCTGGCTATAAATAAATATTTTGAAAACTGTAATTAAAACAACAACAAACAATGCTACTTAAGAAAATGGCTAGGCTGTATAAGTCAGCTGTTTAAGAAAAGCTGGACTTGGTAGGTACTAGAAGATACAGACTTTGATACTTTTTCACTCTGCTGTTGGAACAGTTTTACTGCTTGTTAATTGAATGGGTGATAATTTTCTTAGAATTTGAAAAACAAATTATGGATCTTGAGTGTGTCAAGCATTATGCCGTTTTCATACCTGATTGGGAAAGTGTTTTGTTTACATGTGTATCTATGTACCACTTCCTGGAAGCTGGAAAAGGGCTTCTGAAGAACCCTCAGTACTGGAGTTATAGTTGTGAGCCACTATGTGAGTTCTGGGAATTGAATATGGTCCTCTGAAAGAACAGTGTTTTTAGTCACTGAGCCATCACTTCATCCCTATATTTAGTTTTAAAATTTTAATGTGTTGAAATGAGTACTCTGATTAGTGGGTTAGAACTGGTGGTATTTTTATTGTTACAAAATATTTCAGATTTCTAATTTTCTTTACAATTTAAAGACAACATTGTCACAATTTGCTCAGTTGTGGAAAACAATTCAAACTATAAATTTCTTGGCCGGGCATTGGTAGCACACGCCTTTAATCCTAGTACTCGGAAGGTAGAGGAAGGTAAATCTCTGTGAGTTTGAGACTAGCCTGGTCTACAAAGTGAGTTCCAGGACAGCCACAGCTAAACAGTGAAACCTTGTCTCAAAAAAAAAAAAAAAAAAAAAAAAAAATGAATAAACAGATAAATAAATTTCTTGTATTTATATAGGAAAGGTTAAAAAATTGATATCTTTGGGTGAAGACTAGTATCAGGAATTTACAGATACTTATATTTACTTGTAGTATGGTTTAAATAAATAAAATTTCTTTAGGCAAAACAAATTTAGTTTATAGTATAGATTTTCAAGTAAGATTTTTTTTTAAGCTATTTTAATTGATTCATGATGGTTCTGTGAAGGTTTTGTAGAAGAATATGAAATTGAGACTCAGAAGAGTGATAATGGTCCTACAATATTATGGATTTGGGCTGTATTAGAGAAAACAGTTGAGATTTGGAAATTGTATGAAGTGGGATCTACTAGCTAGAACTCACTATAGAAAAACAAAAGAAAATTATGACAACAGGTTGAATAATGTTGGAATGAAACTCAATAGAATTTCAAGAAAAGCTGAGAGGTTAGATAGAGGTGATTATGTCTGTGGGTGTTTGCTTGAGGAAAAGGTAGAACATTTAAAAGTGGAAAGATGCAGCAATTATCAGCTATTCAGGAGGTCAAGGCAAGATCTCATTCAAGGCCAATCTGGGCTAGGCTCTCCTGGGCAACAGAACCACTCCCCTAAGTGGATGTTTAATAACAAGTACCATTTTTGTCAGTTTCCAATTATAGAGTACTTTGACATAGGAAAGTTTGGTGAGATGAATTGTGTTTTCATTTTATAGGAGCAAAGCCTAGAAGAAATAGTTGAGGTTAACAGAAACTATTATTAAAAAACCAACCACCCCCCAAACTGAAAAGTTATGAAATCATAATGATGTGTTTTTGCTTTCCCCCTAATGTTTTCATTTTTTAAAGGCTTTAAAATTGTATTTATCCATCTATCTACGTGTGTATGTCTCAGTGTCCATACCTTCATTTTTAGTATGTACTACATATGTACCTCTGTGTGATTCCTCACATAGTGTACTGTGTAGTCCAGCATGTCTCAGAATCCACTGAGAAGCTCTAACTGTTGTGGAACCCATGCTTTCTGGTACTTCAGCTTCGCAAGAGTTGGAATTATAGGCATACATCATTAATTTTTGAAGCTTTTATTTATCTTTTGTGTCTTTAGTAATTTCTGAATTTATATAGCTTTTACCTTTTCTATTTTTTGTTCAGTATAAGCTATACAAGACAGCATTACTTTTTTTTTTTTTTTTTTTTTTAAGTTCCTCAAGACAGGGTTTCTCTTTCTCTGTGTAGCCCTGACTGTCCTGGAGCTCACTCTATAGAGTAAGCTGGCCTCAAACTCTCAGAGATCTGCTGGCCTTGACCTCTCTGAGATTAAAAGCATGTGACACTGCCACCTGATTGACAGCATTATCTTTTTGTTCATGTTGGTTGACTTAAGCCATTTTGGGTCAGTTTTCTTTTTTTTTTTCCCTGGAAAACTCTGTGACCTGTTTGTTAAAATTTTTATTGTTGTTGTTGTTATTGTTATTATTATTATTATTATTTGATTTTGGGAGGGGCTGCTGGAGATAGAACCTGCATGCTGTGCAAGCATTTTCCCACTGAACTTCATCTCTTGCCCCTGGTTTTCTGAGGTAAGGTCTTTCAAGAAATAACAGGCTTGCCTGAATAAAATTGCCATGTATTAGAGGCTGGCCTCAAACTTAGAATCCTCAGAGTGCCAGTATTACAGGCATGATTCACTCCACTTGGCTTGCTGCTAGCTTTTAATGAACATATTACACTGAATTCCAAGACAGATACTGACTTTCAATACTTAGGACTAAGCAAGAGAAAAGTATTTCATACAATTCTTGTAGGCATGGTGAAGTGGAAACTGCTCTTCCAGGCCTCCTGACAACACTGGCAGGTTCATTTGAGGCAGAATTTAAGGATATTTGAAATAAAATTTTGTTACTATCATAGTTGTCTTTAGCTAAACAGAGTGCTCTGACCCAGTGTTTGGACATAGAACCATTTAGTGACTCAGCCTTGAGTGGTTTTTGTTTGTTTTAGAAAGGCAAAAAGAATATTAATCAAAATTCTTTTACTAAATCATGTAAGCAAAAGAGGTAGGTTTAAAATATGTTATTTACTTAATATGTTGTACTCTGATGATTTCTCCTTTGAGTATATTTTCAAAAACAAGCCATCAATCTCATCAGCAAAATGTGTAGCCATTATCAAAGATAAAAGGAGGTTGAAACATTTGTAGTATCTTGTATCCCACATTTGGAGACTAGTTCTTGCTAGCAAAGGATACAGTTTCTCTGAGTAGGCAACTATCTAGGATATAGTTTAAACAAAATGTCATAATCTGTGCTAAAGTATTTTAAGGTAAATTACAACAATTATGAATACAGTATATATTTAATAATTCAAGTCTGTTCAGTATCATAAGCAGAGAACCAAGCTTGGCAACAGCAGCTATAATTTTTTCAATGTCTGTATCAGAGCTTCTACCCCAAGAGGAGGTAGATAATAATTATACAAATGAGGATATAAAATGGTTTAATAAATCTCACTGCATCTCTTATAAGCACTAGCACTTTAGACTTCTAGAGGTAACTTCAAAAATTGCCTACTTTTTCCAAATCCATACCGTCTCCAACATGAGTGTCCTAAACATTTGCTGATGACCTCATTCATTCATTCATTCAAGGTCTCAGTAGTACAGAACATACTAAAACTTAAGAATTCTCCTATCCCCAACCCCCTGCACCACCATAACTAGCTTTTGCTGAGGATTCTAAGGCAAGAAACTGCAGTTATCCCTTGGTTCTTGGGTTGTAGGCTTCTATACAGTTATCAAATTCCTTTGATACTTTTAAGTCCCTTGAATAAAAGGATATCACATTTGCATATGCCTTATGCATATATTCTCACATGTGTTCTTAAATGATCTCTGGATTCCTTAAAATACCAATGCATGTAGATGCTTCATAATTAGTTGCTTTTTGTGAACTAGTATTTTAGAGCAGTTGGGAAAATGTTCAATAATGGTAATAGGATATATTTGACAACAGAGTTTGGAGAAAAATATTTAAAACTGCCTTCTGTCTTATGTCATTAAAAAAATAATTACTAGATGAATAAAGGACTAAAGTTTAAAATATCTAGAAGGGGGTCCTTGGCTCAATTCCCAGCAACCACATGGTGGCTCACAACCATCTATAGTGGGATCTTATGCCTTCTTCTGGCATAAAGGCATACATAAATAAATAAATCTTTAAGAAATATCTAGAAAAAACAAAAAGATTGAAGGAATATAGTAATTTGAGCTAACAAGATGGCACCTGCTATCAAACCTGATGATCCAAATTTGATCCCTGGAACCTACATGCCATGTGTGCCCCACCTCACCCCCCCCCAATAAAATAAATGTTGCTAAAGAGTAAAGAGCTGCTAAAAATACCTTATAATTTGTCATCTAGGAAACTTACAAAAAAATTTGAGAAAATAACTGGTGCAAACTTTTTATTCTTTATTTTTGGTTTTTTATTTTTTTTCCAAGCTGGTGTTAACAATTTTATTTAAACCATTTAGTGTGGTAAGTGCTGTGCATATTGTTTTCTGAGGCACTTGAGGTTAAATATTTGAGATGAAGTGATTACCCAGTGTAATCACAGAGCTTCTTAATATGAAGGTGGTAGGAATGAAGGTCACAGATAGAAACGAAAGAAGCAGAGGTCAGAGAGGAGAGAAGACTCCATTGCCCACTTTGTACTAATGATTAAAGGCCCCAACAAACCAAGATAGTGTTTGTGCCTAACCTGTAGAAACTAGAAAAGACGAGAGCATTCTTTAGAGCCTAGAGAAAGATGGGCCAGAGAGAGAGATTGTGAACTCCTGGCCTTCAAAACTGTAAGATGGTAAGTTCTGGTTGTTTTCAGATCATTTGTTCCAATAACTACAGGAATTAAAAGTATTGTTTGAAAGTGATGGAAGAGATATTTATTTCCTTTCTTGGAACTCATTAGGAGGTACTTGTCTCTGGTCCTAAGTTCTTTATGTTTTACCTGAGTAAATTAGGTAGCTACTTCGTAGCACTTGGGAACAGTGCTCCTGCACCAGGGTCTCAGCCTGTGCAGGGTTCACTTAGATTGTTTTGGGTGTTAGGGGTACAAGCCCTATCTGGCCTAGAACTCTAGAACTTACTGTGTAAGTCTCATAGCTACCCTGGAACTTAGAGATTCACCATATTAGTAACCAAGTCCATTCAGAGCCTTCCTGGGGAGATTGTACAAGGATCATTGTAGACCCTTGCTTTGTGAGTCAGAGGTATCCTGTGCCCAGCACTGAGAATTTCATTTCATAACCTTACCTCCTGCTGCATATTAAACTCCACTTGCTGACCTTCTGTGTTTATTTTCTTTCCTGGACTTATTTAATAGCAGTTGTCAGTGTTTTGAGAATTGGATAAGATCATAAATATACGTGAGTTGTGGTAAGCTCTCAAAAGATAGCTTTTTTGAGAAACTGTGACTCAAATGGCCACTGATGGTGTTTAATTGGTTGCTTGATTTACTAAGTCGCAAGATACTAACATTTTGAAAATCCATTTAGAAGACCTGATGAGATAATTCTGAGTATAAGAATTTTGAAAATACTCACAACTTATTTTGAGTTCAGATGCTTCTTTCATAGAGTATCCCATTTTCCTAGGTTCATGGGCATTTTTTGAATTCCCAGAAGTGAAGCTTCATAACCTGAGGTAGCAATGGTATTTCGTGTGTTAATAGTTGAAGTCCTCCCTACTACTTTTTGGTATGAAGTACTCTTGACTCATTCCAAACTGGCTTGTCTTACTTTTCACTTTTCTCCTACCATCTACCCCTTCCAACTCCTTCACACTCTCACATGTTCCCTGGTTGTCTGTTTAATAGTTGAGAGGGAAGAATGAAACTGCAAGTTTCTGGAGGATCTAAGTTCTTGCCGTACTGTGTTTTCCTTTTCTCCAGACAGTCCCAATCTTGTTGATTATGGGACTTCTCTTGATATTCTGAACTCTTACTGCTACAGACTTCTTTTCTTACCATTATTCCTCAAACAATACAGTATACATGGCCAGTTACACTGTATTAGGTATTATAAGTAGTCCAAAAATGACTTAAAGTATATGAAAGTGTATATAGTTCATATGCAAATATGACACAAGTGTATACACAGGGTTTGAGCATCTGCAGGGTCCTGTCCCTTCCCTCTGTGCGTGCCCCCCTAGTTCTCTGTGTAGCCCTGACTGTTCTGGAACATGTTCTGTATATCAGACTCTCCTAGAACTCACAGAGATCCTGTGAGTGCTGGGATTAAATTGGTTTATGTAGTAATGTAAATTACTTGTACAGGCCAAGGTAAGTTTAGTGGATTTGGTTTCCTGGGGGTTTGTTTTTGTTGTTTGTTTGTTTTGTTTTTTGAGACAGGGTTTTGTGTAACCGCACTAGCTCTGTAGACCAGGCTGGGTTTGAACTCACAGAGATCCCTCTACTTCTGCCCCCAGCCAGCCTCCCCCCCCACCCCACCCCCGTGCTGAAATTAAAGCCAAGCATCACCACCGCCTGACCCTTTTTTTGTTTGTTTGTTTGTTTGTTCATGAAAAAATACTATGTAGCTGGATAGTGGTGGCACACACCTTTGATCCCAGCACTTGGGAAGCAGTGGCAGGAGGATCTACCGAGTAAGTTCTAGGACAGCCAAGAATAGATACACAAAGAAACCCTGTCTCAAAAAAGACAGAAAAAAATACTGTGATTGAATAGCTAAGCACTGTAGATTATAAATAGTGGTCTAGGGTTCTGAATTCTTTTCAAATTCTATTGTTTGTCTTTCCACATATCCCCACTTAACTGTTTATCATTGTAAGATGGTATTCTTTTTCAAAGCAGATCTTACTGGTTACTGATCTGAGAAATCTTTATTTTATTCAGTGATTAATTTCATGCAACAATCTCTAAATTTTGTTGTATTTTGGAGGATCACAGATTATTTGTAATCTTATGTCTTAGGCTATTTCATACTCTGTCATGTGGATCGTCTATGATTGTGTTTAATGCAAATGAGTTCAATGAAAGCTGTCTTGGATCAAATATGTTTTTCCCAAATGGATCACTTACTTAATCTTACTTGCTTTTTAGCTTACTAGAACCAAAGGCAGACAGTTCTAAGTATTCAAGACTAATTCACAGAAAGTTAAAACATGCATAATCGTTAGCTGATGTTATTTGGGAAGCAATACATGGTGTTTGAAGTCGTAATACAAATGCCGGTTTAAAGTTTTCATATCTGTAGTTGGATAGAGTGAAGTATGAGGTGATGTCTAGAATCTGGACAGTCCAAAAGGATTGTCTCCTCTGCTGTTCTGCCTGCAAGGTCCTTGAGTCAGTGCCAGGTGTTCATTGCTAACTTGTCTACAGTTTATTTATTTAGTCATAGATCTTATGATTTCTTTTGTTAACAGAATTCTGCTTGGTCAGAGCCGCGATGGCATCGTGTTCAGCACTGATGACTATTTTCATCATCAAGATGGGTACAGGTACAATGTTAATCAGCTTGGTGATGCCCATGACTGGAACCAGAGCAGAGGTTTGTTTTGGGCTAAGGCTCCTGGGATGGAGTATTTGACCTCAAGTCCTACCTGGGTTTTATTTTGACATAGACTTTTACAAGCTGAGTGACTTTGACAGACTGTTAATAACCCAGAGTCCCATTTGCCCTCTCAGGTAAAGGTTGTAAGAATCAGTGAACTTAGATGAAATGGGATGAACTATAGACAGTATACCAATATAAGCTGATAAAATACAGGTGGGGAACATTTCATTATGCCTTTTCCCCACATCTTACGAACTCTGTTACCTTTGTTTTATATTCCAAAAGCCGTTTCCACCCTGTGTGTAATACTGATGTCTTTTAATAAAAGTGCCTGTATTAGTTTTCTTCATTGATACTGTGTTATGAGAACACTATGAAATACTTCAGTTTTAGAAGACATGGGTCGGTTTGTTTCCATCCTAAATAGTGGTCTCAATCCTCATAATCCATTTGAATCACATGGGGATAGGGTTTGTCCTTGGGGCTCAGCCCTAGAGATTCTGCTTCAGTTTGATTTAGAATGAGGACCAAAAAGTGGACCTTTAAAAAAAATAGTTTCATTTAAAAATTGTATGTGTATGGGTGTTTTACTTGGATGTAGATCCCTGGAACTGGAGACACAGGCAGTTGTGAGCCACCAAGTGGCTGCAGGGAATTGAACCTGCATCCTCTGGGAGAGCAGCCAGTGCTTCTTGTAACGGCTGAGCCATCTCTCTGGCTCTAGTTTTTTTTTTTTTTTTTTTTTTTTTTGTTTTGTTTTGTTTGTTTGTTTTGTTTTGTTTTTAAGTTCTCTAAATGATTATAATGGTGATAGAACTATCTAAAAACCTGTTCTATAACATGTGCTACTTTGGGTCTGACAAGATAGTTCAGTGAGTAAGGCATTAACTAGTCTTTAGGATCTGCCAGCCCTAAACATACCTGTATTTGGTACTTCCTTGTTGCTGAGACCCAATACCCAGCAAGAAACAACTTAAAGAAGGCCTTATTTTGGCTCATAGTTTAAGAAGGGATACGGGGCAGGAAAGGCATGACAGGAACACTATGCAGCTGGTCATAGAGTAACTACTGTCAGGAAGGAGATGGAGGACCCATTTCCTTTAGCCATGCCCCCCTCTCTTAAAGTTATCTCAGCCTTCCAAAATGGTGTTCCTACCATTAGGGGATCAATTGTTGGCATTTCCCCTTCACACCATAGACAAATAATTCAGTCCTTTGACATTGCATCACAAGCCTATCCTCTGCAAAGTTCACACTTGAGAACTTTTCAGCCATTACAAAATAAATTTGTATTGGGCCACAAACCATGACTATTGTCAGCCACACGTGGCCCATGAAGTGCAGGTTGGACCTGGCCTCATTTCATTTTGTTCAGTTTAGTAGTTTGAATCCAGTTTATCGAGAAACGTTCTGTCTTTGCACTCAACTTTGATAATTTTTTAGAAGTTAGTCCCCCTCCCTTTTGGAGTGGGGGATTGGTTTTTCAAAATAGGGTCTCTCTGTATTGCTTTGGAGCCTGTCCTGGAACTTGCTTTGTAGACCAGGCAGGCTTTGAACTCACAGAGATCTGCCTGCCTCTGCCTTCTGAGTGCTGGGTCTAAAGGTGTGTGCTATCACTGCCCTGCCAGAAGTTAATTTTCTTGTCTGATATCCCTGAGGTATATATTTATTGCTGTCATTAATAAATGGCTCACTGTGACAGTGACTTTTTTCCCCTCATGGTCAAGAGATGACATTGGGATAGAGAGATTAGAGTTTAGAATTAAACCTGCATTCTCTTATTAAAGTTACACATTTGAGAATCATGATTTTAAGAAATCTACAAAAATAGCTGAACTGTACTGTTGAGCTACTTGATTGATAAAATTTTACTTGTGAGTAATACCTGTCTTTTTTTTTTTTTTTTTTTTTTTTTTTTTTTAAAGAAAGGGTTTCTCTGTGTAGCCCTGTCTGACCTGGAACTCTTTGTAAACCAGGCTTGCCTCAGACTCAGAGATCCACCTGCTTCTGCCTCCTGAGTGCTGGGATTAAAATCATGTGCTACCATGCTCAGCTTTCTTTTTCATTTTTATTTTTAGTGTGTGTGTAGGGGTGGGGCAGGGGCACATGTACTCTGTGTGTGGAGATCAAAGAACAACTTTTTTCAAAAGTGATTCTCTCCTTCCATCTTGTTTTGTGGCAGGGTCTCTCTTGTTTCTTTTGTCCCACTCTAGCTGTCCCAGGCTAGCTGACTATAAGTTTAGGCTTGTTTTCCTTTCTTCCCCTCCATCTCCATGTAAGAGTTCTAGAACTATAGATGTACAGCATTGCTCCTGCTTTTTGATGTAGGTTCCAGGGAATGGGCTTAGGTTTGTAGGCTTGCATGGCAATGGCAAGTGCTTTTCTGTGTGAGCCTTCTGTCTCACATCATATTACAGAAAAACTTACTGTCTTGACCTGTAAAAGATCATTCTTAATTGCCTCAGTGTTTTGTTAGATTTTTTCATTTAAAAATTTCTTCCTGTGTAAGTAAATCTTTGCTTTTACTGTACTTTGTTCTTTACCACCTGTATTTCCTGTTAATGAAAATTGGGCCTAACCTGGGTAGTGGTGGCACATGCCTTTAATACCAGCGCTTGGGAGGCAGAGACAGGTGGATCTCTGTGAGTTCGAGGCCAGCCTCCAAAGCTACAGAGAAACCCTGTCTGGAAAAGCCAAAAAGAAAAAAGAAAATTGGGATTAGACTAAAAGCTTCATTAGTCATAAATTGAACAAAACTTTACAAGGTGTGTTTTTGCAATTTGTTGGTTTTATTTGTTTTGTTAAAACCAGCATCCAGTCCAGAAAATATCTTGTAGTTTATGTCTAGTAGGTCTTATATTTCATGGCACTTACTGACGATGTATTGCAATTTTCATTTTAAATGCAAAGATGTATTTCTTAGTACCAAATATTTAAATTTTACTTATATGTTTTTATTTCAGCAAAACAAGCTATTGATCAGGGAAGATCTCCAGTTATAATAGACAACACTAATACACAAGCCTGGGAAATGAAACCATATGTAGAAATGGTAAATAATAAACATCCAAGTTTTTGTTTTTTATTCTTAACAGATTTTCATATCCTGAAATGTTGGTCTGTTTGATCTTTATTACTAAGACATTTTCCCTTGTTTTCTAAATAGTTTTATTGGCTTTTTTTAGCTTAAAAATTGGGAATTGTATTCATGATGATTGAATGTGCTCTTCTTAGTTACCCCTGAACTTGAAGGTAGTAAATAGAATTAATCCAGTTACATAGTCTTAACATTTTCTAAGCCACATTTTACCAAGAAACATTTTTCTTGGTTGAGCGGCCTTCCAGTCGTCAGATGACTTATACCTGTGTGTCTTCTTTTTCTTAAGAATGCTGTCTGGGTTTTGTCTTCTCCCTCCCCTGTGTAGGCCATAGGAAAAGGATACAGAGTAGAGTTTCATGAACCGGAAACTTGGTGGAAGTTTGACCCTGAAGAATTAGAAAAGTAAGAGCCTTATTTTTATTGAATCCTTATCTTGTTTCTTTGATTTGTCTTTGTGTGTTTGGTTTCTTTCTGGCTTTCTTGTCATCCTTGTTAGTTGGGAGCAGGGACTTTTTTTCCCCAGGGGAACAAGTTTTTGAAGAGCTTTGCCTTGTCAAAATGTATTAACTATCTTTTACTAAATATGCTTTGTACTTAATGTGAATTCTTTAATGAAGTGTATTGACTGGTAATTGACATCAGAGCTTCTCCCTCAACCCTCCACCACCACGTTCCTTTTGTAGAACCCATCATCAGCTTGTCCCTTGTGTTTTCATCTTCCTCTGACTTTTCCCTCTCCATAAATCTATCCAAGAGCCTTGAAAGCAGTATTTAGGAATTCTTTTTCTGTTCTTTTTCTAAGATGGAAATGTGCGTTTAGCTAGTTTTATTATTCAGTTGGAATTAGGGGCACTGTGTCATTTCTTCTTAACATTTCTGTTGCAAATTATATCCAATCACTTTAAATAAGGAAGACTCTGCATGCTCTAGTCAATGGGTAGTTGCCTGCCAGGAAAACTAAGGTTTTGTGGGATTTGTTTCTGGATTGTTTGGAGGTTTTTCTTTTTTCTTTTCTTTCTTCTATTTGTTTCTTTCTTTATTTATTTATGCAGCATGCTGGGAAAATAAGTCCAGAGTTTTATATATGGTAGGCAGATACTCTTCCAATCTTTCTAGATTTCAGAATGAGAGCCTTTGTGAGAGAATGTGGACTCGGACTTGGAGCCTAGCTCTTCATTTGTGTTTGCCAATGTCCTTCCGTTACTGCTTGTGTTGTCACTCTTTTCTTTCCCTTCCTTTCTAGAAAGGAAGCTTACAATTTACTCATTTAAAATATATAGTTCAGTGCTTTTTAATGTATTCATAGAAGTGTATAAATGTCACTTCCATTTTTAAACTTTTTCACTTTTTATCTTCCATCAAAGTTTGCTACTTCCTGCTTTACACTCTTATTTTTTAATTTTCTGGTGCTGTTGATAGAGCCCTCTTTAATTTTCTGGTGCTGTTGATAGAGCCCTCGTGTGCATACAGTAAACACATTCTGCCATAAACTGCATTCCCAGCCTTCAGACTGTTGTCCTGTATATGGGGCCCAAATCATTTATTTCCCCACCTTTCATTCCTTTGATTATGTTCTTTGTGATTTGTGTGCTATATACTGATGATAATAATATCTGACTGGTATTGTTTGCCTACCAAACCGTGTATGTTACAGTGGAAGAGTGTAAATTTAAATTGGAAACTTGAAACTAAAGCTAGTTGAATCATGGTATACAAATTACTGAACAATTTAACTGTCCTATAGTTATGGCTTCATTTATGTTTGAGAGACTATTGTGACTTAATTTTTGTTGTTGTTTGTTTGCTTTGTTCTGTTTGAAACAGGCTCTCACTATGTAGTCTTGGCTGTTCTGGAAATCTCCATGTAAACTAGGCTGGCCTCAAACATACACTGATCCACCTACCTTTGTCTCCCAAGTGCTGGGATTAAAGATGTGCACCACCATGGCCAGAGGATCCCCTCCCACCCCACCCCCCAAAGACAAGGTTTCTCTGTAGCTTTGGAGGCTGTCCTGGAACTCACTCTGTAGACCAGGCTGGCCTCGAACTCACAGAGATCTGCCTGATGCTTCTGCTTCCCCAGTGCTGGGTTTAAAGGCATGTGCCACCACCACCCTGCAGAATAATTTCTTAATATTTAACAGCCTACTTTATTTTAACTGAACTGCAGCATATTTTGAATTTTGGAAGAATTGGGTAGAATCAAATCACTAATTTTGGCATTTTAGGGATTTAATTATATTTTACTGACTTGCTGACTTTTTAAGTTGTATAATTTGTGCTGGGGATTGAACTCAGAGTTTTAAGCATGCCACAGTAGTGATAAATTCCCCTAGTGTGTTTTTTGCCAATTTTTAACCTTGGGTGTGGTTTATTTTTCCCTTCTGTCTCTGTTGTGGTTGTTCTTAAACTTTGAATGTAAAGCATCAGATTAGAAAAGTAGATTTGTGCGTGCGTGTGTGTGTGTGTGTGTGTGTGTGTGTGTGTGTGTGTGTGTGTTATTTCTAGGAAAAATGAGTTAGTAAAGCAAGAACTATACTACAGATACAAAGCTTGTTCCTGTGTGTTGTCTTGTAGAATCTTGCAGAGTCGGAGTCGTATTGTTGAAAACTGTGAGAGTAAATAAACTGTCCAAAGGTCTGGGTGTCAACAGTAGTTTTTAAATACAATAGTTCTTAAATAACTTTTCTTATCCAGAACTCACATAAAGAAAATTACAGGAAGAGCTGTGCTTGTTGGCACAGGTCTGTAATCCCAGCACTAAGGAGACTAAAGCTGAACAAGGTCTTTACATGACACATATACTTAGTTGTTACCTATGTTAGAACACGACTGGCTCCTCAGCAGCTTCTCACGGTCCAGTTTTATGGATTTTTTTTTTTTTTTATTTATTGGTTTTGGTTTTTATTGTTTTTTGACCTGATTATACTGCTTATGTTTTTTGGAAGTTTTACCATGTAGTTTTGCTTTAATATCATTGTTTGATTTTGCCTTTTTTCAACTTACATATACATATATGAAGTAAATCATATTTATATCTAATTTTTTAATCAACATCCTATTATATTTCTAATAATAAGGTACTAGTAATATGAAATTTTAAAATGCAATAGGAAAAGCTGGGCATAATGGTGTATGCCTTTAATCCCAGCACATGAGAGACAGAGACAGACTGATTTCTAGGATTTCTTGAGGCCAGCCTGGTCTACATAGTGAGTGCCAGGACAACCAGAGAGACCCTGTCTCAAAAAACCCAATAATAATAAATACAAAAGGAAGTACCATAAAGTAACTGATAAATACTTTTCATTCATTTCTTCTGTAATTCTCAAAACACTATCTCAATCTCTTTTTTTTTTAATTTTTAAAAATTTTTCCATTTTAGAATGCTTAAAAAAATTTCATGTAATATATTTTGATCATATTCTTTCCCCTCTCCCAATTCCTTCCAGATTCCACCCTCCAGCTTCATGTTCTTTCTCTTTAAAACAACAAATCTATTGCCAGGCTGTGGTGGCTCATTCCTTTAATTCCAGCACTCGGGAGGCAGAGAAAGGCAGATCTCTGTTGAGTTAGAAGCCAGCCGGTCTACAGAGCTAGTTCCAGTGCAGCTAGGGTTGTTAAACAGAGAAACCCTATCTCAAAAAGCAACAACAACAAAACAAACATAAAAAGAAATGTAGAGAAAACATCTTCTAGTTTGCTGTATACCTAGTGTTTTCAATGATCTGTTCTGTAAGAAGCTGTAATCACTTCACTTTGTCCTCTGAAAATAGCAAGTGCAACAAATCTTCTTCTATAAAGCAAGAATGAATAAAGTATGTCTTCTCATGTTTGTAAAATACCATTTAGATTTAATTCTGTTACTGTAAAATAGCTGAATCTCTAAACGTATGCTTTCTTAAGAAAAGAGGATTTAAAATCCTTTCCTTTTTTTTTTTTTTTTTTTTCTTCTTTTTTGGTAGGAGGAATAAACATGGTGTGTCTCGGAAGAAGATTGCTCAGATGTTGGATCGTTACGAATTTCAAATGTCCATCTCTATTGTGATGAATTCAGTGGAACCATCACAGAAAAGCATACAGAGACCCCTCCCTCTCCCGGAGGAGCCGAGGTGGGGAGGCTCTCTAGGCTCACACAGTGAACCACCTGTCACAGATAGCTCTTAAGTTGGCTGGGTTAGCTGGCATGCTGATTACTTTGAGAACAAAGTAGTGAGCCTGTCTTGACTTTGAGTAGTTTCAAATAAAAAGAAAACCACTCTGTTGTCTTACAAGGGTGTTCCCTACAGTTGTTTAGATCCTAAAGTACAAATAAAAATTGCATAAAATTGTATTTTAAATGTTTTTTATAATCTTTTGTGATACTACTTTTGGTTATTGTGAATAGTAGAACTAAAAGGGAACTAGGGTTTTTTTCTAAAACTGAATTTTTAATTATCTATTTTAAGTACTGTTGAACTGCTTTTTTAATAGCTCATACTTTAAATTTTCATAAAAACCAACATTTTTCCTTCATTACCCTAAATATACAGAAATACCAGCTTTTTGTACAAGACTTTATAGTTGATTCCTTTAATTTGGCATACTAGTGAAATCATGTTTCAGCTAATTCCTATGTGTGACAAAATTAGCTCTAAGCCGTAATTAGCATCTCACCTAGTTCAAACAGAATTTTCAGTAAATGTTGGACAGCAGGTATATTAATCATCTTGTGGGTCATATATTGCATTCAGACCCCTTCCTCTCCAGGTGGGACACATAATCGAGTAATACACACAACACCCTACCCTTCTTAGGCTGACTCCTGGTTCTAATTCTTAATGTGGAGCCAGCTTTGCTTCCCCCCCCCCCCACTGAGTAGCTTCCTTTGTTAGATTAAATTCCTTTTCTTAGAATTTAAAACTGAGATGTGCTAATTCATTTTCTCCTTCAGACACAGCTTTGCCTCCTCTCTTCCTATTGAGCAGTATGAGGAAAGCAACTCCACTTCTCACCTTTGTTCCAGTGTTATATAGAAAATGCTTTTTTACTCTCTGGTTTATTTTTCTAAGAAAAATTCCAGCTGATTACAATGTAACTTCAAAAATTAATTTATCATGATCCTATGTATGCTTTGCATGTTAATTTTTTTTTCTTAAATAGCCTATTTTAAATCATGTATTCTTTGTTAAAGTTGTGAGACTGAAAGCTAGATAAAGTATCTTCAGCTAGGAATTTTAATCATGTTGCTTTTTGCTGTTCATATTGAGTATATCCTGATTTACATCTTACCTTGTTCAGCACATGTCTGTTTATATATATTTGGTCATCCTAACTAAACATGTAGTAGGAGTATGCTAACACATGTTCTGTTTGTAGATGTATGTTATATACATATCTTTTTAACATAAGATTGCTTTTTAATTTAGATTTGTGTTTTCCACTATATTATTTAACTTAGCACAGTTTGAAACCCATACTAAAAGGTTAAACTTCGGGATAGGTGAATCAACTGTTAGATATGCTGGTGTCTTTCGAAATTTTGTATAGTGTAAAGAAACCCTGTCTTGAAAAACCAAAAAAAGAAAAGAAAAAGAAACTTCATTTAGGACTGGAGAGATGACTGGGTGTTTTTGAGCAAGTGCTCTTCTAGAGGACCCAGGTTGAATCCCCACACCCATAAAAGGTGGCTCATAACCACCTGTAACTCCAGTTCCAGGGAACAGAATTCCACTAGCCTCTGTGTGCTCCTGTACATAGACTTCCACATGCACCCATGATTAAAGGAAATTCTTGTCAGCTGGCCTTTAATCCCAGAACTCAGGAGGCAGAGGCAGGCAGATCTCTGTGAGATCAAGACCAACCTGGTCTATAGAGTGAGTTCCAGGACAGCCAGGGCTACACAGAGAGGAAACCCTGTCTTGTAAAACCAAAAGAAAAGAAGCTTCCTTTAGGAATCTTAGTGCCATGAATCTTGAACTTACAGATAATAAGCTCTTAGTTATCCAACTATATTTTGACAGAAAAGAAGATTGCCTTTGGGAGATACACACTATGAATACACACTTTCTAGATTTCTTTTATAGACTCAACTTTATCTTCTTGTATTTCTGACTAATAATAATCACTGCTGTGTAATTTTTAAAATTAGGAATTCCTGAGGCAGGGAAATTGGCATTCTCACTTTTTAAGGGTAGAAAATAAGCATTGTGCCTCATTTAAAAAAAAGAACAATTATGAATAACTATGGAATGAAAGATAACTAATATCAACTAATTATGGTTGCAAAAAGCTAATAAAAATGTAAAATTTACCTGTTAGTTTTTAGCATTTTTTTTTCTTTTATTTGAATGTAATTTTAATGCCCCTAGTACCATGCCCCACCTTAGTGTGGTTTCCATTACAAAGAATTGTGTAGCTGTTAGGTGATATATTTAAGATGTGTCACAAGCTTCTATTCTAATTCTGTATGAACAAATTAGAATTACTTGGGGTTTGTGGTTTTAGCCATTGAGTAAAAATGATTACCTTTGTTATAATCTTGGAAGTAAAGCACTCGAGTTGAACTTTGGTGCTGCTTTTCAAGAGGGTAGTTTTATTTCCATTACCCCCCCTTTCAAAAAAACCATTGTTTCATACATTTATGTTTTTTAAAGTAAAATTATAAAATAAAATAATTGGGTTTGTTGTTGAAGTGACAGTTGATTTAGGTATTTTAAGTTTGTTTATCTCTAATACAGATTATTGAACTTTTTAGTTTTACATATTGATTCATAATTTAAAATGAAATTTGGAGTGACTAAGTTTTCTTTGAAGTGTTCATATTTTATTCAAACTTGTATTACAAACTTGCCAGAAACTAATTTTCTAGGTAAAGATAAACGAAATGAATAGTGTGTTGTTGTCCAGTTGAAATGTTGGAGAAGTACAAGTAGTTGTTACTGTTATTACCAGTGTCCAGAGCTGTGTGTTTACCTCTAGATCCATTGTATAAATGTATACTGACATGAATCCTCCAACTGAAAAGGGCTAAAGTTATAACTGTTGTTAATCTACACTCCATATACAGTGGGTGATACATTACACTAGAGTTGTGGGAAAGAATTTGTTTCATTTTGGTACTATGATCATTTAGAAGAGATAATTTAGTGAGTGTATAAAGGGTAGATTTTTAAAGTTAAATTCTATGGGTTACACAATTTATGAATATTTTTTCTATTAAAATTACTGGCTGTATTTTTGTAAGTTTACTGGGAAAGAGAAACTAAATTAGGCATTTGACAGCCTGCTAGAGATGGCTGTCTTTACAGAATAATATTGACATGCTGGCATGGTGATATGCTTTTAATCCCAGCACCAACATGGGGAGGCATTCAGGTATCTTTGAGTTCAAGGCTAACCTGGTCTACATAGCAAGTTCCAGTGAGACAATGTCTCAAAAAAACAATTATTGGCATAACAATTTTAAGTTTTAAATTAAGGTACCATTAAAACCATAGCTTCTTCGCATACATGCCATATTTTTTTTAAAAACTGTCCTCGAGTTAACAAGGAGTTAGATTTGTTGAGATAGATTATAGAAGAGCCATTAGTATCTGTATCTATTTTGTTCTTTTTTATTTTGTAAAGCAATAGTTAGATTGATTTCAGTTTAGTTGATTCAGATTGTCATGTTTTTGTTTTTAAGTGTATCAGTGTTTTACCTTTATGTATGTATGTGCACTATGCATGCAGTTCCCAAGAATGCTAGAAAAGGGCATTGGATCCTCCTGGAACTAGCATTACAGATAGTTGTGAGCTGCCATGTGGGTGCTGGGAACTGAACCTGCTCCTCTTTGAGAACAGCCAGTGTTCTTAATCACTGAACCATTTATCTAACTTCCAAATTGTTTACTATTTTAAACCTAAAAAATTTTCAGTTTTGTGCTTTGTTAATTTCAGAGGAAACATTGGTAAGTATTTATTGATTGAATGCCTCTAAACTTTAAAAACTTGTGGGAGAATGATTATTGCTGACAGAGTCTAGATTGTAGTGAATGGAGTATGTGTGTAAATGATTATTTAGAACAGCCTCTTTAGGGAAATTCTTAATACATCATCACTATCACGGTATGCACAGGAAAAGGATGTTGTGTCACAAATAACTTTTAGTGTGGTTTGTTTTTGTTTGGCTTCTCGCATTTTTTAAATCATGCCAGCATGTGTGTGCACGGAGACTTACGTGTGCCTGTGCCATTGCTGTCACATGGAGGTGAGAGGATGGCTTGGAAGAATTGGTTCTCTCTTCCATCATATGAGTATCTATCTACTCAGGTAGCTGGGTTTGTTGGCAACTGTTTTTACCCACTGAGCCATCTTACAAGGCCACAAGATAATTCTTGGGGAAAAGATCATCAACAGTAAAGAGAATGATTCTTATCCTTTCTTTAAAGAAAGAAAAAATAAAAAAGATTTAGTTCCATGTAAACCATGCTGGCTTCAGATTCATTGCATAGCTGGGGCTGACCTTAAACTCCAAGTCCTTCTTTCTGCCACCTCCCAAGTGCTGAGGTTACAGGCACTTAACTGTTCTTTGGATTGGAAATTTTTAATTGATTATTTTTTAGACATGTAATGGAAGTTTTAGTCATTTTCATTAGGAATAATCTGTTTTTCAAAGATTTCTTACTAGTAACCCTGTCACGTTTCAGGTGTAATATTCCAATGATTATACACATAATACACCTCTCAGCACATGGTTAGTTAACTTCAGTAATCTGTATTAAAAATAGAATGTTTTATATAGTTTGGACACACCCATAGGCACTAATCTTAGAACAAGACAGAACCACATTAACCAGCATTATACCCCTGTTTGGTGGTAAGTGAGGACTTTGAGGGTGTCAGTCTATAGCACTCTCTTTTAGAGATAGGGTTTCTCTGCGTAACACTGGCTGTTCTGGAATTTTCTCTGTAGACCAGGCTGGCCTTGGACTCAGAGACCTACATGTGTTTGCTTCCCAGGTGCTAAGATTAGAGGCATGGTCTAACTGTTAATAATTCTTGCTTGTATTTAAGTTAAAGTGCCTTTGTACACTAATGGAAAGATTGAGACGTTTTAGAGAAGCTCCTGGGTTCTCTTATTGTGGTTAAA